GATTGCTATAGCTTTGTAATGTGTTTTGAAACAAGAAACAGAGACATCCATATTTGAATTTCTGTCTTTAAAGCTGTTTATTTGAGGTTTCTTGAGATTTCATATGAATTTCAGGATAGATTTTTCTGCAAAAAATATGCCATTGAGATTTTGATGTAGATTGTTTTGATCTCTACATGACTTTGAGTAACATTGACTCCTTGCCAACAGCAGGTCTTCCAAATCTCAATACCAAGTCTCTCCCCACCCACCCACGGCTTCTTTAGTGTCCTTTGACTTTTCAGGTCCTGTGTGCATCTCTCCCTCCTTGGCTGAGTGGTTTTTGAATATGTTTTATTCTTTTTGATGCTGTATAAATGGAGTTGTCTTAATGTTCTTCCAGATTATCCTTTCCTTGTTCTTTATCTTATAGGAGAAAGCTTCAATCTTCCATGAGTAAGCATGATATTAACGGCGGACTTTTTATATATGATCATTATTATGTCCAGGTAGTTTCCTTCTGTACTTAGTTTGTTGAGTGTTTTAACATGTATTTATTTACTTATTTATTTATTTACTCTGGCCCTTCATGTGTGGGCACGCCGTGGTACACTTGTGCCACAGTGCACATGCAGAAGTCAGAGGACAACTCTCAGGATTGGCTCTCAGCTTCCTCCTTCCATCATGTAGCCCCCAGGACTGAATTCAGGCGCCTTACCTGCTAAGCCACCTCTCCATCCTGAGTGAATTTTGTTTGCTTCTTTTTATTTTAATTATGGAAGGCTATCAAGTCTTACCAGATGCTTTTTCTGCATTAATTAAGACACTGTCCTTCATCCATTTAAGTTGGTGTATGACACTGACTTTCATACCATGAGCCATCCTTTTGTTCTAGAGATGAATTTTATCAATATGTCATGTGATTTGATCCTATTGAATTTAGTCCATCCCCTAGTGACTGTGATTATTTTTGAAGCAAATATCAGATATCTTATTTTATTTGAAGATAGTGTAGTATGTATTTTTAAAAATAGGGCTTAAAAATCATAACACTATGAAAACAACACTCTCAATTTATTGTAATTGTTTAATGTCACCAAGTATCCAGTCAGTAGTCATATTCCTAAAATAGTTTGTTTATGAATGCTGCTTACGTTCCGCTCCTGTGATTCGCTGTTAACCGTTGTGATGTCACTTTAATCTATACACATTCATCTTTCTTTCTTGCCATATTTTAAAAAGCAATAATTTCAGCCAGGTGTTGGTGGTGCACACCTTTAGTCACAGAGGCGGGGGGATCTCTGCGATCAAGGCCAGCCTGGTTTACAGAGCGAGTTCCAGGTCAGCTGGGGCTACAGAGACCTTGTCTCAAGAAACAAACCAAAACCAAAACCAAACCAAAACAAAACAAACAAAATACGTCAAAGTATAATTTTCTCTCTGGATCTTTTTTATCACAGTCTATGATATGGGTCTGTTCCTTTGTCTCTCTGTTTCTTGTAAATTATTAGGTCCATAGGTTTGGGTAGATTTTTATTTTTAAAGTTCGGTTAGACTATTTCAAAGGTGGTGGCCACCAAGAACACATTGAAGGTCGAGTTATCTTTGTGTGATATCAGCAGTCTTGAGGGATCCTTGATCAGTCACTGGCTGAACAGCAAAGTGAATTTTTTTTTTTTTTTTTTTTTTTTTTACTTTTCCTATTATCCTTATAAAGATTAACTTAAGTGGCTGGGGATGTTGCTCAGTTGGTAGAGTATTTGTCTAGCATATATTGGGTTAGTTCCCTAATACCCTATATACTGGATGTGGTGCCACATGCCTATAATCCCAGTGCTTAGGAGGTGGAGACAGGAGGATCAGAAGTTTAAAGTTATCCTGCTCTATGTAGAGGCCCAGGACAGCCCGAGCTATGTGAGACCCTGTTTCAAAATACAAAGCAAGGGGCTGGAGAGATGGTTCATCCGTTAAGAGCAGTTCAGTTCCCAGCATCCATTTGGTGGCTAACAGCTGTTGTAACTCCAGTTCTGGGACCTGAAAACCTCTTCTGGCCTCTGTGGGTGTGGCACACATGTGGTGTACTTACATATATTCAGGCAAAACACATACACACAAAATTAAAATGAATTTTAAAAAAAGTAAAAAAAAAAAAAACATACTGACATCATTGCCATAGAATAATATGAGCAGGTTCCCAGGAGCTTGTAGGACTCTGCTTACATATGGTCCTGCACCCCTGCCCTGGCTCTTACAATCTTTCCACCCCCTCTTCCGAGATGGTCCCTGAGCCTTGGGTGGGTAAAGTTAAAGGAGTCTTGTCCAAGGACCATCATTCAGCAGACTCTTGATCTTCCTGGCCCTCCGCTGCATGAGGGAGCTTCATTATTGAGAACTGAGAGATTCATTAGTGTTCTCTTCTTTACCCCTGTTCTATGTTCCATGAATCTTACGTGTGGAGGTTGCATTGTAGATGTGTCACTTAGGCCTGGGCAATTTGTAGACAATGTCCGTGTGTGACCAGTTGTGGTACTTGGTAATAGTCTCTGACTGGTGCAAAATTAGCCTTCTTTGATGAGTGGTGATTGGGATATTTGTCTGTAAATATAAGGATACATATTTTGCACATAGTAAGAAATCACTTCAGTCTAGGGATGTTGACAGTCTTGAGGTTTTCTCTAAGATCTGTGTCCATTCCAGCCATGTGTATTTGGTCATGTTTACAGTTCCATACTTGAGTTTCCTCCCATTGAGTGCAATAATGAAGTGAACTTTGTTGATTAATTGGTTGCCCTGAGGTATAGATGACATAGGAAGAAGGAATAAATACTTGGTTTCTTTCTTTCTTTTTTTTTTTAACACCTTTCTTAAATTTTAAAAGAATTTCCTTGTGCTTAGTGACTCTGACCAGGAGTCCTTGTAACTATGACCAGTGCTTTCCAGTTTTGGATATCCTTCTCTGCCTCGCACAGCACCAAGCTTTAGGCATGGGCGCTTTGACTTCATACAGATGGCTTCTCCCCACTGCCCTTGCTCTGTACTTGAACCGAAGCTTTGAAAGTAGAAACAAACTCTCCCACTGATGCACACAGCCAAGGGGCTGCCCAGCTGGACTCTGATGCTAAAGTACATTCTTTGACCACTACTGACAGTGCTTTCTGAAGGGCCCAATGAGGTTTACAGAGTTGCAAAGACAGACCTATGGTGCAGTGACATCGGACCCAGGAGCCAGAAAGACTGTGGAGGGACAGGCAGACATAGGATAATGACAGAAACTGTTGCGCATTTTGAAGAAAAGTCCCCGGCACAGGGAAGAGGGTGGGGCAGGTGGAGTGATGGGCAGTGACTGCTCAAATACGGTGATCTGCTAGGTCTCAGGGGAAGTGACATTTTGAGAGAACCCAGTGCGAGCTAGGAAAAAGCCTTCCAGGGGCCACCAGCAGAGACCTGGAATCAGTGGAGGCTCTTGGGAAGAGCTGTAAAGGGTGAGGGACCAGGAGGGGGTGTGAATAGGCCTGGGACAGTGGTAGCTTGGGACAGTCTTCCTGGAGGGAAGACACAGTCCCATCCAGATCCAGCACTTCTTGTATGGCTTGTCAGTCACTACGGTTTCCCCTTCTGTTATTTTCCCCGTCCTTGCTAACCCATTTCTAGAAAGAATGTGCTTGCTTTGTTAACCAATGGACAGGGCCTGAGTTCTAGCCCAGATTTCCTCTGAAGAGGAGTGAATAGGCTGGGCGGACCTCTGGGTCCAGCCAAGTGAATTCTTTGTGTTATCTCATGTGGTTTGGGAAAAATTCTCATTGTTTGAAAAATAATACATTATGGTGTATGACCTTGTATGCTTTGGAATTGGAATATAGGCCTAATGTTTTGCATTGAACTAGGAGGAAATGGATTTCTTGTGGGCGTTTATAATAGAATTTTCACCAGCCAGCATCATCTACAGTATGGCAGCTCCCTCCTTCAGCTAAACACTCACGTTGTGATGTTTTACATTCCCATGAACCAATTTTCCTGAATGTGTCTTTTTGGAGGAAATATAAATTCTTCTCATGCCATTGTGGTATTTAGAACATGCTAAAAAAAAAAAAAAAAAATGGAAACAAAAAACAAAACACTACCCTGAGCCTGAGGATGTACCGGGCTCGATAATGTGAAGAATGTTGGTCCGATTGTAGGAAATGTGGAGAACTTGTCAAACAAAGTCATATTTATAGTCTAGCTCAGAATCTGGTATGCATTTGCTTCCTTTAGTGTTTAATCAGTTTATTTTATTTTATTTTTATGCACCAAATCCAGATAATTTGACTTTCCACTGATAAAATATTTACTTGTTCTACAGGCAAGGCGCTAAACTTGGAAAGGAAGGGTACCAAGTTAAATTTAAATTTTGTTGAACAGTATTCACCACGATGCTGTCTACTTGCTGTCTTGGCAGTGTCTCTTGTCTCTTCTTGTTTGACACACAGGGAGACAGACTGGCAGCAGTTGTAAGCCGAAACCCAGTTGTATGCAGTGAGCTTGATTGGGGTACTAACGTGGAGAAAATTTCCAAGTGTCATTGTGTGTGTGTGTGTGTGCGTGCGCATTTCCTTAAATGAAAGCATGACCCATTTGCTTTAAATAGAATGTTATATTCTGTTTGTTGAGGCTATTATAATTTCATGATAGATGATCCTAACATTGAAATCACTTTTAAAGACTATTTTGTTGAATAACCAAATTTGCCTGTGAACCTCGGTTGTCACTATGTCATACAAGTTGTTTTGATATAATCAGCTTGTTTCACAACACATTTGAGTCATTTCCCCCCCAGTAGACCTGGGATCAGTTACTCAGAGGGAAAGCATGCATTGACAATATATTCTTAGCTGTTCCTTTCTATCAGCCAGCTGTCAGGGCCTATGGAATCTAAATTAGAATCGCACCAATGGGAAACAGGCCACACGCTGTTTACTGGTCGGTTCGGCCTTGGCCAGTCCTCCTGCACAGCCGCGTCTGGACTGAAGGGTGGATGCAGCAGGATTTGGAGTGCAGTCCAGGTCTTCCAGTGGGGGCCCTGAAAGGGGACGGCTTTGAAAGGCAGCCGCTCACAAGAAAGTAAGAAGGAGGAGTTTGTTCCAGTACCTGACAGGCTGCTTTGTGCATCAGGCGCTGTGAGGCAGGGAGGAGAATTTTCCAGCATTATGGAGAAGGATCCAGAAGATGAAGAAAATATCTCTGGCCATCCAAGCTAAGTGCAGTCCAACATGTGAGGGACGGAGTCCCTGGCTAGGAGTCTGCAGACTTGGCTTTGTGAGCTGCAGAGATTTATAACTGAATGCAGGGGTCTTTCACGGTTGGAACGCAAAACTCAAGCCTGAGCATGATGAACTGTTGGCTTTCTCGAGCTCCTGCGAACAGAGTGGGTATCTCATGCTCCAGAGGACCCTCGCAGAGGCTCTGTGGTCTTTAAAATGTCCTGTGTTAGTTACTGCTGCCGATATCTTTGTACTAGTAATTTTTTTCTGATTTGCTGTGGGAGTTAATGGTAGCTAACTGAGCTAACAAAAGTATTTATTTTTTTCTGGCCTTAAAGATAGAGTGTTAATAACTGAGCAGTATCACTATTAAGTGACATTAGGCCAGGACTTGATGTAGAACTGAACAATCACATGCTAATATGAGACTTTAATCCCATCTAATTTCCTTTTTCTTTTTAAAAGCCTTGGTTCGGAGCTTTGCAATGTGCTAGGGATGTCGGTAGCTTCTTTTCCACCAGGAAGCTTCTGTGGAAATAAAGGCTAATTAAGTCTAAGGATAAACTAATCAATTTAGAGCAACTGTTTGTGTGCTGAGCGTGACCTAATCCATCAGGCATTTGAAAACCCAAAGTTGCTTAGGTCTAAATCCAATACCATTTCTCCAACCAAGCAGTAGGCTGTTTTGTTCTAGCTTAAAGAAAGGTGATCCCTACAGTGTAGTTTAGATTTTGAGCCAAGAAGGTACCATTATTCATTATTTAATTTCAGTCCAACATTTCTGAAGTCTGTATAGATGCTTGAACCAGGCTCCATTGAAAAATTGAATCTCAGGAGTGAGTTAAAAATTGTATGTATATATCTTCTTTCATATTCAATTTTAGTATCTTCTCTTTTAAGTAATTTATAGGTAAATTAGCAGAATTTACTCTAGAAACTTAGTGGTTTAGTGGTTTATTTTTTCCTGGACAGAATAGTAGATATAAAAATCATATTGATATGACATTTAGAGGGTCTGTAAGGAAATTTTTTTTTCTTTCAGAGATTTGCTATATTTGTGGGCATAGGATTGACTTTGTAAATTATGTGAAAACATGAAGATCTTTTTTAAGTTATACAAATAACACTGGATTTAGCATAGAATTTAGCAGTAAGTTAATGAGTTGATGTAAGATTTTATTATAATTTTACTTATATTACGTGTGTGCACATGTGTATGCATATGCATGTGCACCCCATATCACATGTGCAGAGGTCAGAGGAAAACTTGTGGGAGTCAGTTCTTTCCCTCCACCTGTGGGTCCTGGGGATCTAATTCTGGTCATCAGACTTTGTGGCAAGTGCCTTTCCTTACTGAGCCATGATGCCAGCCCCTGATGTAATATTTTAAAAGGCCAAAAATCTATGCACTTACAAACATGTATTTTATTACCTAATATGACTCTTTTCTTGATCTCCTTTCTAAGTGTTATAGTATACTCACACTTACAGCTGTTCACACATATGTATACATATTATTTTTGTGCTCTGACATTTCTGCTGCCTGAGAAAAGACCCAAGCTATTGGCCTTAGGATGTCTTGAAGGCATTTTCTCTACCTAAAGCTAAAGATAACCTTGATGCACTATATATGTATATACACATATATATGTATATACATATATAGTGTGTTTCCTCCTTTTTAAAAAAAATACCGTTCACTTTCCTTTTAAGTACATGTGCATTGAATATTTGCTAAGATAAAAAAAAATCTGCTGGCAGTGACAGTGCCTGCCTGTAATTCCCACACTTGGGAGGCTGAGGCAGGAGAATAGCAAGTGTGAGTGCCAGCTTGGGCTACATAGTGAAATGCTGTCTCTAAAAAGAAAAAAAAGTAGTACTTTAGACTCCTTTTTAGTTTTTTTTTTCTATGTAGAAGTTTCTTTTTATACTAATGTATAAGCATAATGAATCGCTTTTCTGTTGAACACGTGTATGTGTGTATGTGTGTGTGTGTGTGTGTGTGTGTGTGTGTGTGTGTGTGTACTTTGTTGAACAAAGCCTTTGGCCTTTGGAATAGGTAGGGGAGGGGCATAGTGTCTTACAATACACACAGAATTCTGCTGCTCCTAAGGGTGCTGGGAGACAGTAACCAGAGACGGATCTGAAAGTGGGAGCTAGGGAACACAGACCCAACAGAGCCAAGACTGGCCTGGCTCACACAAGTCATTTGATGCCTCAGAGCCTCTTCTCATCTGTTCAGTAGAGATCGTAATTGTAATTCCCTGGGGTAGTTTGAGGTGTTGGTGCTTGGCACAGGGTAGGTGTTCAGTAATTATTCGCTTCCCTTCTTTGGCACAAAGTCAAAGAAAAGGACATCATACAGGGGGAACATTAATATTTTTTCTCAAAAGTTTAAAGTAATGTATAGACACACATTTTTTTTCTAAAAGTTTAGGCTTCTTATATGTCATGTTTCGGGGGGAAGTTTTTAGGAAACTGCTCTTCTGGTGAAGTAGGCACACAAGGGAATTTGGGGCACAGTACTGTCCCCCTCTCTTTTCCTTCCTTCTGTAGACAAGCTCACTAATACAGTCTGCCACTGTTTTTTTTCTTTTCTGTAGCAAGCAGTGGATTGGAATAAATATGACGACCGGTTGATGAAAGCTGCCGAAAGGGGGGATGTGGAGAAAGTATCTTCAATTCTGGCCAAAAAGGGTGTCAATCCAGGCAAGCTAGATGTGGAAGGCAGATCTGTGTGAGTATTTACCCATGAATACATCTCCAAGGACTCTGGTTAGGACCTTGGGATACAAATGACATTTGTGCATTGTGGTTATCAGCTTCTTGATTTAGAAAGTCTTTACAAGAACTGTTACTCTGAACACTTCCAAACAGACTAATAACTGTTCTTGATTTAATGCTCTTTAGTGCCTATGGCCCCTGGTAAAGCCATACCAGCCTGTGGTATTGGGAGTATTTTCATTGATAAGCTTTAACAATTTTTTTTTTGCAATCTTTAGTGTACTTGATCTTTGAAGCAGTCCTGTAAAAGAAGTGAGAAAAAAAGAATTTCCAGACATTAAATAGCTTGTTCTAATTCCCAGAAAAGTCATGGAGCTGGGATGTGAGCCCACACTTTCTGCTTTGGAAGAGTTCTGGAAATAACACTGTCCTTTCTCCATAGCCTCAATTTGATTTTTTAAAAAATTTGTGTAATTAGTTTAAATGAGACTGAGCAGAGCGGGGAGAAGGCAGAATACCTAGGTGGTTTGGGGAGACACAGGTAGTGAACCTGCCCTTTCATTCTGGGTGAGGAGGACTCCCTGCTTGTTTACACACTGATGAGCCAAATGTGTTCCCCACCCATTGCAGATCTTCATCTTTCCCTTCTTGCTGAGGATAGGAGTGGTTGGGTTAAAGGGTAGATCTTGATTCTGTTAAGACTATAATTACAGCAGTGGAGACCTTATCTGGGAACACTTTCAAACTCAGAGGTAAAAAGTCCCATTTCCTAAAATTCCTCAGTCTGATACTTGCTTAAGATTTATTTTTCTTCCCTTCAAAATATTATTAGAAGTTAGATACTAAATATAGCAATGGATATTAGGAAGTGAACTGTTAATGTTTGATTGTGATTACAACTTTGGAATGTATAATTTTTAAATATAACAAGAAAGCAAAATGGGACATAAATTCAGTAGTTGTTTAAGAGCAATGAAGTTTGAAAACTTTTGGGTTTGTAGTGTTTCAATTTTAACAAGTAGCAGTTTTAAAAAATGTTATTTATTTGTATTTTATGTATATGAGTGTTTTGCTGGCATGTAAGTGCACCTGTGTCATGTAATGCCCAAAGAGGCCAAAAGAGGTGTCAGATATCTTGGAACTGGAGTTATGGACGGTTGTTAGCTGCTATGTGGGTGCTGGGAACCGAACCTGGGTCCTCTGGAAGAGCAATCAGTGCTCGCAACCACTGAGCCATCTCTCCAACCCTATTATATTCTTTCATAATAAATGCTTTTGTATTTTTAATTAAACACTATATATATAATAGTATAGGACATGTTACAAATATATCTTCTGTTTATAATTGAAAACCAATTTTATTTAAAAATTTTTGGTTTCCAATTTTGAAAATTTTAAACACAATTTTTAATTTTTAGTTTTGGAAATTTTAAAGACAAAAGTAACAAGTGATTCTTGAACCCAGTGTGTTTCCAAGAGGGAACTGGGGGGTTGGAGAGGATCCCTTGTCAGGCGCTACCCAACCAATCTGAAACTTCAGTCCCAGGGACTCCAATGCCCTCTTCTGGCCTTTTCAGGAACATCCACACATATGTGCACATATACACAGACACACATACATATAAATAAAAATAAATCTCCCAAAGAAACCAGTTTATGCCTATTCATAGTCTCTACAAGGATCTGTTTTCTTCTTACCTCTCTCTCTGCTGAGTATAGACTTTGAGCTCCCAACCTAAGGTGGAGATGGTTTGCCAAGGATCCCTCTGCCAGTTGCAGACTTTTGAGGCCCCCTTCCAGAGTCCCCACCACTCCTGGCTGTCAGAGAGCTCTTCATTCTCCCGACTTATTTCTCTGGAATTATGCAAGGCTTCTAGGGAGAAAGTGGCCTTAGCTCACCTCCCTGGCCTCTCTCTTTTCTCATTTCCTGGGCTTAGTAAGTTTTTATTATCTTGTTAGCTCATCAGTGCCTTCAAGCAGGTGGTTGTAATTTGTGCATCTTTTCTAGTTTTCTGAGGTACTTGTTGCCTAAATTACCTGTGTTCCATCATGGAAGCAGAAGTCCTTGCCTTTAAAAAACTGAGGGACCAGCAAGATGGCTCAGTGGGTTGAAGGCTTGCCACAGAGCCTAACAACTAAGTTGGATTCCCAGGACCCACATGGTAGAAAGACAGAACTCTTACAAGTTGTCCTCTGTGCTCTGCTGTGCACACACACACACACACATACACACACACTAAATAAATGTAATTTAACAAAGAGTTTGCTTTTTATACAATTTCTTTTTTCTTATTTTTTTTTATTTTATGTGTATGAGTGCATTGCCTGCATGTATGTAGGTGCACCAGTGCTGTGCAATGCCTGCAGAGGTCAGAAGAGGGTGTCAGATCCCCTGGAGTTACGCATGGTTGTTAGCTGCCATGTGGGTGCTGGGGATCAAACCTGGATCCTGCTCTACAAGAGCAGCCAGAGCTCTTAACTGTTGAGCCATCTTTCCAGCCTCAAGTGTTTAGTTTTTAACTGCAAAAGAGTATTTCTATAAAGCAGTTTTCATGCATTCTGTACAACCCTTTCTTCCTGAAGCAATCTACTATTTATAGCACAGCAGCATTAATCATGCACTGGTGACTTGCTGTGACTTCTGCCCAAATAGTATATTATCTGTATAATGTGGATCTTTCTTAAAGAAAGAGGTCTTCCAAATTTTCTGAGTCAAAGAATGAAAACAAGCAAGAACAAACAAAAACTGGTGCCTCTAAAATCATTAGGAGACTAAGTACTTTTGTGTGAAGGAAATTCTCACTCCTCCTAAGGTCCTATGGGTATTGTAGGTTCTAATAGCTTCCATGTTATAGGGAGGTTAAATGATGCCCTTGAGGTCTCTGGAGATGACTCAGTGGTTAAAAGCACTGGCTGCTTTTGCAGAAGACTCAGATTCTGTTCCTAGCACCGACATGGTGGCTAAAAACCAGTTCCAGGGGATCCGACACCCTCTTCTGGCCTCTGCAGGCATTTCACATAGTGTACCGCATACATGCAGACAAAATACTCATACACATTAAAAATAAATGATACCCTTGCCTGGTGTCTGGCAGTCCTTAGCAAGTTCCTGGTCTCTAGTTTGCATGTCATCTGTCATAATATTAATAGATTCTCACTGTGTCCTAGTCATATCTGGAAATGAATTTGTAAGCTATTCCCAGATTTTGTGTCTAAGTATTTTACTTATTCAGACATTTGAAGGTCTAACACTTATACTTGGTTCCAGAGCTATAACAGAGAGAAAAGGAGACAACAACAAAATCTTTGCTTTTATTGAGTTTGCTGTTGAGTGGGAAGAGAGCTACAGGCGGTAAAGAATCTGTACTGAGCTTATATAGTGTAAACATGTTAAGTTCTATGTAGAATAATGAAGGGTGGGAGGGGGACTGAGGTACTAAGGCTTCAGGACTTGGGGAGCATAGGACTTCTCTGCTGTGGCCAGGGAAGGAGCCTCCTGTTGAGAGTGATTCTAAATGTGACCCTCACAGGCACCCCCTTGAGCACTGTCATGTCCCTTGTCTCTGGGCATGTGCAGAAGGGGTCCTATTTCAGGTTGACTTCAGTGCCCTTTACCAACAACTCCTGCCGTATTCACCACCTTGGATTCAGTAGTGAATAGTCAGTACCCATTCTTAGTGCACCACCCAAAAGCTTCTATAAATGCTTGTAGAGTAAAGCATCCGGTGATGAGAGAACAGAGTGCTTTGTTTACTGGCATCTTGTGTGCTAAATGCTTAAAGGTAGCTTCTCTTTTTTTTTTTTAAAAAAAAATTCTATTGTTTTATGTTTATGTGTCTGTACATAGGACTGTATATAGGTTTATGCACATGAGTGCCGCACCCACCCACAGGCCGGAAAAGGCATTGATTTCCGAGAACTGGAGTTGTGAGCTGCTGTGTGGGTGCCGGGAACCAAACCCTCATCTTCTACAAGAGCAGTAAGCAGTCCTAGCTGCTGAGCCATCTCTCTAGCCCCCTCCCCTTTTGTTTTTGAGATGAGGTCTCACTATGTAGTCCTGGCTGGCCTGGGACTTTGTATGTAGACCAGACTGGCCTCAAACTTACAGAAATCCAACTACTTTGCCTTCCAAGTGCTGGGGTCAAAGGGGTGCACCATCATGCCCGGCTCAATGTGCTTTTATTAAGCTCTAAGTGCTATGCTTTGACTATCAAAATAATAAATTATAGTGCTAATGATATTATAGTACAACATTTTCTCATTTTAAGGCTGTTGCATATTAAAATCTTTTGCTTGTTCTAATCAGGTATTTCCAGAATGTCTTGACTAGTTAGGCGAATCAGATTTTGAAGCATTTCAGATTTGGAGACTAGACATGATAAACTTGTAAAGGTGTTTTGTTGTTGCCTTTATAACATAGGTGTGTGTGTCCATGTAAGTGTGTGTGTTAAATAAAGAAGGATGTTGGTATACCCTTTAAATTACCTTGTTAGTTTCCACAACTTAACAAATGTTTCGTCTTGTTCAGCTTCCATGTTGTGGCCTCCAAAGGGAACCTGGAGTGTCTGAATGCCATCCTTATTCATGGAGTTGATATTGCAACCAGTGACACTGCGGGTATGTTTCCCTCCATGAGAGGTCCCTGTAGCCCCAGCTGGCCTGGAACTCACTATGTAGACCAGGCTGGCCTTGAACTCACAGAGATCCCCTGCTTCTGCCTCCCGAGTGCTGGGATTAAAGGCATGCACCACCACACCCAGCTCCCACACTCTACAATTACAAATAGGCTTCAATCGCTACTACAGACTGTGTTAGTAACCAACTGAAGGCTGGTGCTGTAGCTTAGTTGGTAGAGTGCTTGCCTAGATTCAGTCCTCAGAACCCCATAAAACTGGGCATGGTGGCAGACACCTGTAATGCCAGCACTCAAGGTAGAGGCAGAAGGAATGCCTCCATTTGGGAAGACGAGAAGGGTTAAACAAATTGTCCTCATCTTTTCAATTTAAATATTTTTTAAAATATTTTATTATTTTCATTTTATGTGTATGAGTGTATTGCCTGCATGTATGTGAGTGTGCCTGTGTTGTAAAATGCCTGGAGGTCAGAAGAAGGAGTCCAATTCTGGAACTGGAGTTAGATGGTTGTTAGCTGCCACATGGGTACTGAGACTCAAACCCAGGTCCTCTGCAAGAGCAGCCAGTGCTCTTAACCACTGAGCCATCTCTCCAGCCTCTAAAACCTTTTTGTAGACAGTTGAAATCTACTTTTTACTTGTCTTCTGCTTACCTGTCTGTCCTTTAAACTCTTACTGCTAAGTTTGTACATATAAGGTAGACCTGTAAGCTTTCGAACATAGCTCTTGGTTTTCTTCAATGGGAGCATTAGATTTTTATTAATTAGGGTAACTATTTCAGTTCCCTGGGACTCTTTTTTTTTTTAAATATATTTATTGTGTGTGTGTGTGTGTGTGTGTATGTGTTTGCATGTGCGTGTGTGTGCAGCACACCAGTGGAGGTCAGAGAATCACTTGCAGGAACTGGTTCACTCCTTCCATTTGGGTCCCAAGGATGGAACTCGTCATCTGGCTTAGTGGCAATCAGCTTTTACCAGCTATCTCTGGGACTCGTAATAGCTTAGTGCTATATAGTTATACTCTGGTAATTAGTTAATTATTGGAGTTGATGTAGAAGAGAGAATTCTCTCAACAAACTTGAACATTTTATCTTATGACTCCATGTATAGGCAAAGAAATATATACTGAAAATCAGCATTGTGTTTAGAAATGGAAGAGAGAGGGAGGGGCTGAAAGAGAAAGATCACAATTTAGTGAAGAAAATCCTTACCTAAAGGAACATCAAATTCTAAATAAAAAATAAAACTATTATCCATATTCAAATGAGAAAGAAGTGTATTTCTGGCTTAACTGTTCCTCTACATCAGTAGAAAGCATAAAATATTTTTAGAACGTTTAGCCGGTTCCTCACCTGAACTCTTCAGATTATTGATTCCAGTTAGGACATGTGTCTCCTATCTGTGTGTGCGCTCTTTCTGTTCTGGACGTTTGTGCCTGGTGGCTGGGTTAGTGGCTTTTGTCCCATCCTTCACTGCAGGTCGAGCTCAAGTGCTTTCCCAAGCTCAGCAGACCTTGCCTCACAGGCCACAGTCCAACTTAGCCGTCCGGATTCTTCCTGTCTTTTGTTTATATTGTCCTTTAGCCACACTTTGATTTGATATTTTTAATTGTTTCTGTCACTAGAATTATCCTTTCTTGAGAATAAAGAACTTTCTTGATTGCTCTATTATAGGTTTTCATCCAGGTATGGATATTTAAAAAAAAATATATGTAAATCTGGGTGTGGTGATACACACCTGTAATTCCAGCACTTGGAAAGCTGAGGCAGGAGAAGTATGACTTGGAGGTTAGCCTGAGCTACGTAGTGAGTTCTAGGGCATCCTGGGCTAGACCCTGTCTCATAAAAACCAACCAACCAAATAAACAACCCAATTGTGTGTGTGTGTGTGTGTGTGTGTGTGTGTGTGTGTATGTGTGTACCTGCCATAGAGCCTGTGGAGGTCAGAGGACAACTTGCTCAAGTCTCTTCTCCTTCCACCATGTGGGTTGTAAGGATGGAACTCAGGTCCACAGACTTGGTGGCAAGTGCTCTTATCCACAGAGCCATCCAGCCAGTCCACTGAGCTGCATCTTCAATCCACAAAATGAAAGAGAGAATGCCGAATATGCATTATCTGGACTTGTTTAATGACCAGGACACTCTATTTTATTTTAGAAAAATATTGGTGGGTCAGGAATGATTAGACCTGAGCACACTTACTACTATCTAAACTAACATAAAACTGAAAGAAAATTCAAAGCCAATTTATCAGTCCTGGGTAATCATAATTTAAGATTTTTTGAGGGCTTCCCCCACCCCCTTTCTCTTTTTGAGACAGGGTCTCACTGTGTAGACCAGGCCTTGGACTCCCAGACATCACCTGTGTCTGCCTCCCCAGTGCTGGAATAAAGCTGTGGCCCGTCATGCCTAGCAATAATCGGAATTGCGTTTACTTCTTTTCTAACGGAAAAATACGAAATGGGGCTATGTATTGAGGTATGCGCAAGACTGGAGAAAAATGAAGAGCGTTAAAGACTGATGTTGCCATAGCCTGGTGAGCCTCTTGTGCTTTGACCATTCAAGCCAGATGTATCTGTAAAGAAAGATAGGGGATATTGGTGAGTTGGCTCAGTGGAGAAAGGCACTTGCCACCAAACCTGATGAGTTCCTGAGGACACACATGATGGAAGAACAGAACTGACTTCTGCAAATGTCTGCACATACACATGTACACACACACAGAGAGAGAGACAGACACAGAGAGAGTAAATTAATTAATAAAAAGCCTTAAAAAGAAATATAGTCAGGAGAATACTTGAAGATGAGACAAGATGGTTCTTTGAAGGTTAATTTTATCAGAATTCGGAGTTGGCCTCTCAGACTGATAACCTCCCCTCCCTAGCCCCTTTTGGCCTTTCCTGTAAAATGCACATTTTACATGAATGTAATGTAACGTAAATGCACATTTTACAGGGATGTAATGTAATGTAAATGTGGCTCAGTGGGTAAAGGTACTTACCACCAAGCTCCATGACCTATGTTTGATCCCCAGGACACAAAGAACCAACTCCATCAAGTTGTCTTCTGGCTACCACACGTGTGCCATGACCTATACATGCCCCCTCATGAACTGCATTTTAAAAATGTATTAAAAAGTAAAACGTGCACATTTGAACTGGCATTATATTTGAACATGTTGTATGGTTTTCAGGACACAGTCTCATAAGGAACTTTGAACATTAGCTAAAACAGAAAAAAAGACATTTCTATGATGACTGGTTTTTAACTTCCTACACTTTCAGAGCCCACACCAGCTATCTGGAAATGTTACCCATTCTGCGCTCTCTTTCCACCTCTCCTCCCCACTCGTCCCTGTCCTCTCCTCCCCACTCGTCCCTGTAACTACCCACTTTGTCTCAGCACTGACACCTCCCTCAGTGCTGGCGATACAGTTGTACCTGGTGACATTTCTCCTGCTCTTGAGGAAAGCCAAGGATTAATTTATCTTCCTGCCTTCAGAGTTTGGGTGTGTGTATTATCTTCCACTAAAATATCAAAGAGGAAGAAACATCTTAGAAACTGAAAGCCTACTTACAAATTAAATATCCTGCCGACTAATTTTTTTTTTGGGGGGGGCTCCTATTTCTATGGAAATTCCTGTATGAAGAAAATAATCCTTCACATAAACTTGAAATGCTTTCTTTCGCAGGGAGAAATGCTCTCCACCTGGCTGCTAAGTATGGACATGCATTGTGCCTGCAAAAGCTTCTTCAGGTAGAAGTGACAGGAATTGCTGGCTTTGATATGTGACTGTAAATCATGCATGTGTGCTTAGTGTCTTTTTGGAACTCGGGATCAAAGAGAATGGTAGGCTCCCTCTGACCATTAGCTTACGTGGTATTTTTTCCCATCGTTTATGAAGGAATGGAAACAATAAGGAACAAATCATGAGGGAAGTGAATCACATTAGTCAGTGTCTTAAAAATAAACAACAAAGGCTTGACCTTCCTGTTGAAGGGACTGGAATTTTCTGTTGTCTAGAATATGGCATAAGATTAAGTACTCGAATCTATATGTGTCTGTGCAAACACAGATGGTTTTGACATGATACAAGCCATACATTTTTATCAGACAATCACAGTATTCTGTGAGTCACTTGGTTGGATGAAGGCTTTGTCACGCTAGTCCTATGATGCCACTTAGAACTATTTTGTTCTTCTCATCTGGTGGTTCATTTTAACTCTTGCTGGGAAAAAAAAATCCCAAACAATAACATAATAACATATTTTCAATATTTCATGCTATTGTAATAGGCCATATGTTTCCTGTTTGGTGAAATATTGTTAAGTTTACAGTTATATGGTGTTATTATATTTGTTTGATGTCAAAATATTTAGTATATTGTCTGAAAGCCTTTACTTTCTTTGATAAGTGGAATATTTTAAGATTAAATAACAGCTGTTCATTTGAGTCTGGATGTTGAATTTTAAAACAAAACTCCCATATCACCAAGTTTCTCTGTTTAACAGTACAACTGTCCCACTGAGCACATGGATCTACAGGGAAGAACCGCACTTCATGATGCAGGTGAGAAAGGCTCCTCATGGCCATGAACGTTTGTAAAGATGTGTGATTGCTGAACATAATCTCAAGGTTTAACATGAATTCATACATATCATATATATAATTAACAGAAAAATTACTGGCATTTTGGTATGCTCAAAATTGAAATTTGGGTTGAAGGCTGATCTTACAGAGGACCCGGGTTCGATTCCCAGCCTCTACATGGCAGCTAACAACAGTCTGTAATTCCCATTCTGGGGGAATCTGACGCCTTCTTCTGACCTCCATGGACATTGCATCACATGGGTGCACATACACAAATACAGGCAATATGCTCATACATAAAATAAGTAAGTAAATAAATAAATAAACAAAATTGAAATTCATTAGTTTATGCTGCTTAAAAAGGTTCATTCAAGGGCTGGAGAGAAGATGGCTTAGCAGATAAGAGCACTTCCTGCTCTGGCAGAGGACATGAGTTTGGGTCCCAGCATCCAGGTCTGGCAGTTCACAACTGCTTATAGCTCTAGCTCCAGGGAACCCAACACCCTCCTCTGGCCTCCACAGGGACTAAACAAATGCACACCCACCCATAAACACATAATTAAAAATAAAATCTTTTTTTTAATGATTCATTCAGCCAATATTTACAGACCAGTCAGATGGAAGATAGAAAGATAAATTGTATTCCTTTTGCCAATGAGAGTCAAGTAGTGTGTGTGCACATGTGTATGTGTGTGTGAGCATGTACACATATATGAGTATACGACTGCATGTACATATGTGTGTATTTGTATGCATGTGTGTGTGCGCACATGCGTGTGTGTGTGTGTGTGTGTGTGTGTGTGTGTGTGTGTGAGAACTGGTAGGAGTGGTAGGAAGGAGGAAAGGCCTTTTCTTTCTCTAAAATACGGCCAACCTAATTAACATGCTGAACCTCATTTTTCTCATTTGCAAAATGCCATTTGTACTTCTGTGACAGGTCTTATAATTAAGCCATCAGTAGTGTCTGGAGCATGTTAATTCTGATTGATGGGAAAGCTGTTTAGTTTAGAGGTACCCATGCTTGGTTTCCTGTCTCCAAATGTGAAATAGTTTTAAAAGAATGTTGACCAGTAAGCTCAGATTTTATGACTCTTACTCCATGTCCAACTTGTGTACGTTTTTATTTTGGTGTCATAAAGAAAGTAAATGAACAAAAGTTGATGGTTAAGTCATTTGGAAGTATAAGATTACCTGACATCTTGCCTGTCTCTTCTACATCTGAAATTCCTACAGTTTTCAAGAAGGCCAAAGAAGAAAACATTTCACTGTCTTTTTCATGTATAGAATGTATTTACCTGGGTTAAGGTGATCTATATTAAAAATATATGTCAAGTGTCAAATTTCCTTCAAAAAAGATTTATTTTTTTTATGACACCAAA